AGGGCTTGAGCCTTTGAAGACTCGCCAAGAGGAATAACCTCAGATACAGAAAGTCAGGTGTTGTTTGACCCTAAAAGCAAGCCCCACGGCCACCCAGTGGATTCTGACTCATATTGACTCTGCGTAGGGCTTCTTTGGCTGTAACTCTCTACAGCGCAGACAGCCTCAACTTTCTCCCAGGGAATGGCTGGTGGGTTTGAACTGCCAACCTTGCCGTTAGCAGTTCTTCCTTACATGAACTATGTACCGTTGTCAGGTGCCATCAAGTCAGCTCCCACCCATAGCACCCCTGTGTGTACCACAGAATGAAACATCGCCAGGTCCTGTGCCAGCCTCACAATTGTCATTGTGTCTGACCCCATTGCTGCAGCCCTGTGTCGATCCATCTTGTCAAGGGTTTTCCTCTCCTCCGCTGCCCATCTGCTCTCCCAAGCATGAGGTCCTTCTGATGACCTGTCCAAAGGACGTGAGACCAAGTCTTTCCGTCCTCATTCCTAAGGAACATCCTGGCTGTACGTCTTCCAAGACAGATTTGCCCATCCTTCTGGCTGTCCAGGGAAACAGCGCTCTCGTGTTCAGGCTGAGAGTTAGGGGACGCGGGGATACAGAGCAGACAGGCAGGTAGATGTCAGAAGCTGGGACGTGCAGGGCTGGCAGGCGGTAGATGGTTAGGTGGGGAGAGAGCGTAGGTTGTGTACAAGAAAGAGGAGCTGTCAGACTTGAGAACTCAGATCCCGAATATAGACCCTCTATTTTTAAATGTGCTGATGTCACCTCCGTGTTGTGTGCAGGCTGACGGCACGGCTTCTCTTTGTTATTGATTTGCTCCTGTGCTGTACTTTCATCTTCACCTGGTCGGGGCGGGGTGGGGGTGGGGGGTGAAGACTTGGGTGACGTTGGCCCTTCCCAGCTGGGCCGTCAGCCTGTAGTTCTAAGGCGCTCCTCTGCGTGCCTTGCCCTCATTGAACAAGCGTGGGTTTCCTGAGGACCGTGATGGATGGCAGGAGGGACACGAGGTGACGTGGAGGTGCGGCCCGGGGCCAGGAGTTGGGAAGAACTCCAGATAGCCTGTGGCCTCCCGGTCAAGCCCTGACCATCCTCCCTGAATGGGGGATGATGCTCTTACCTCCCACTTGGACTTAGTGATGTTGTTGTGTTCCAGGTCTGACTCATAGCTGCCCTGCAGGACGGGGTCGAACAGCCCATATGCTTTCCAAGGCTGCAAATCTCATCTTTCCCTCCAGGAGAAGCTGGTAGGCTGGAAGCACTTTGAGTGCTTAATCATTGAGTCACCGGTGCTTTCAGGGAGTCTGTTCTGACCCATGGTGACCAGGGCTGCAGATGATTAACTCCCTCCTGTTGTAGTTCTGCTCCCATTTCACCATCATGCGGTTCCGTGAGTGCCTCAGTTTTGAGTCTGGTTGGGCTTTGGTGCTAGCAGGGGCTCTGGTCGCTCAGTGGTGTGTGCACTGAGTGGCTGGCCACCAGTTCTGGGGCCTCAGAATCCCACAGGGGACGTTCTCCTCTGTCCTGTAGGGTCACGAGGAGTCGGAATAAACTCGATGGCAGGGAGTTTGGGTTTGGTGACATAGTGGG